TTAGGGTATACATGATATATTGACTGTTTAGGAAAGTGTATTATTCATCATCACCATCATCAGACCTTTATTAAATGCTTATCTGTACTGGGTCTTAGCCATTGAAAAACCAAAGCATAAACATAATATGCATAAACAGTACAGATAAGTGCATAACTTAAGTAGCTCTGCACAATAGCTGAGAATTTTCATTTCAGACAGTTGATTCAAGTATTGCAGGTAGAGATTTGAAATGACTTCTGAAGGAGAGGCAGTTTTTCAGCAAGCTTCTGAAAGAAAGGAAAACATTCTAAGCAAAGGATTTAATGCTTTAATGCTTAAAGAATGAACATGGCATGTCATAAAACAGGCCCTTTTACTATGGTATGTTAATAGAGACATAGATTGTAGAGATAAGTCGTGGATAGGGTATGGAGGATCTTGTCTTCTATTCTGCCCGTTGTCTTTAAGATACAGGCAGTGGGAAACTTTTTAGGATTTTGAAACAGAGGATAGAATCTACAATTGATAATGGGAAATTAAACTGAAAAATTGGATGATATGGAATACAGAGTTTGAAGGCAAAATTAATTTATTCTCTTTGACTCACTGGAATATATTCTCCTTGATATCAGGGACATTGCACTTACTATTCGCTCCTACATTACCTGACACATTGTTGGCATTAATATATATTTGTAGAGTGAATTAATGAGTGCATGAATGTATTCTTAGTAGTCTAGTAGGTCTGTCCTACATTATAACATGAAAGAAATTCAACATCCTTGTTTTATGTTATTCCATTAGATAATGTATACAGATGTTGAAATCTAAAATTTGATTCTTGTGTATTTTTCAGAATGAAGCATTTTAATTTCTTAGAATATCATCACCATAGAAATGTCAATTTTTGCTGATTTGCTATTTCCCTGTTTCATTTTAAAAGTGAAAATATTTATCCTGTGTAAAAATGGTTAGTTCAAACCTACTTCATCATCAGTGCCAATTCTCTGTATGAAGTTATTATACATTTTGTCTTTGAAAATCAGTGATGAATACTTACCAGTAACATATTCCACGTGACAAAAATCAGATTTCAGGGCTCCTATTGCTTTTAGCTGTGTTTCTATGTTAGGATTGGTAGAGGAGCAGTGAGGCACTATTTTACATAGATTGAGAGAGGGTGTAAGCTGTGCATTCTACGTGTATTCACAGAAAACATGTTCTCATTTATACCTCAGCTTCATTTTGCCAGCATCTTAAGTTCTTTCCCTCTTCAGGCCTTTGTACTTGCTGTGCGTGCTTCCTGAAATGTTCATTCTCTAGATCTTCAGTGGTAGCTTTTCTCCATCTTGAGATTTGAGCTTTAGTATCACTTGATCTGAGAAAACTTTTATAACCATAACATCAAGTAGGTCCTCTTTATTTTTTTTTCATCTCATTCCATCTATTTTTTTCTTCAGTGTATATTTTAGTTTTTAATTTTTTATGTATTTCTTTGGTTGTTCACTGTATGTCTCTTCACTAAAAACATCAATTCCTCAAGAATAGGGACTTTGGAGATTAGCTTACTTCCTGCTACTAGGTGCTCAGTAAATACTTTTTCAGTGAATTATAACGAATTAAATTCTATTTAACTACCAAAGCTTTAAAGGTTTTGTAACCATTTTTATCGAACACATTTTTTAAATGTGTATAATTTTCTGCCTACTGAACACAGTGCAGTCTTAGGCTGATCATGACAATGATCAATTTTTGTATTATGCTCTGATAAAATGATGCCCTTAAGATCTTTACTTTATGCTAAATGACCTCAGATTATAGCCCTGTTCATATTTAGCCTTCTTAAATATGTATTTTTATATTATATGCTTTTTGTTATATGCTATTTGTTAATAATAAAAAAAAAGGACCTAATGTGAACAACTAAAGTCCCTATCCCTTACACTCACCTGTTTGCAGACTTGGCCACAGTCAATTACTTTTATTCCTTTGTGTTTTCTTCTAGTGATTTTTTCATCTCTCTAAATGTTGTTCTAATAATATTTCATATGTACTCATATTTATTTCATATAACAAAGATTTGCTATTTACATTTCTGCTATTATAAGTGAAGATTTAATTCATCTTACCTCTTATCATTTTTTATAGTTTAGCAGTTCTTTTTTATTAGTGTAATAGTAAATACCATCTTTCTCCTTCTTGACCATTAACTGTAGGTTGTATCTCTTGATTCCCTAGGTTAGCAAGTATTCCCTTCCCTATCATCTCTTGTTCTTGCATCTACCAAATCCTGTTAACTATATTTCTGTCTTGTCGTAGTTGATAGCGTTTATGTTCTGCACTTTAACATACTTATATCTTTACTCTGTAGGTTGATTTAGAAAGTTGACAGATGATAAACAGCAATTATATTATTAGTTCCACATAAATAGTGTCGACTGTAAAGCAGTAATTTGTGATTATGGTTTCTTTTCTACAGTGTCACCATTTATGACCTCTGTCCTACTCAAAAGAAAATGTTCAAAATAACCTAACACCAATTTGTCACAATTATGATACATTTTAATTTGCTTCTGATTTAGACGTTGCCTTTTATGTTCATTTTGCAGTTGTATTGTGAGACCAACTATGTCTTACTATCTTACTATAGTCTTGATATCTCCCAGCTCTTTCTGATTCTAATGATTGCTTAGAATCTATTCTGTTCATCTGGAAGTCCAATTAAATGCCTGTTCTAATTTGTATCTCATAACTCCATAGTTGCATCACAGCTTTTTTATATGTCTTCTACCTTTCCTACCTTATTTTTAGTTGCCCTTTTCTCTTTCATATAGAGCTTCTATCATAGTCTCAAGTTTTCTTTTTAAAAATTTTTTTTTAATTCATATCACTTTTTTGTCAATTATATCCTAAGGTAATTTCACATTCCTTACACTTCTTAGAACATGTTTATTTCAAACTTGATTGTTTGGCTTGATACAGAATTCTAGATTGAAAATAACATGCCCTCAAAACTCTGAAGAAAATGTTCCATTATCTGCCAGTATCTAGTGTTGCTAATAACCAGTTCAATCCCATTCTCATTGTTTGCCCTTGTTATGTATCTTTTTTTTCTCTGAAAATGTTTAGGATCTTCTTTTCTATCTGTAATGTTCTAAAATATCACAATATGTCTAGGTGTTTGTCTTTTCTTATTTCTCTTATTCATAACCTGGGAAATTAATTTGAAGACCTAGTCTCTTTGAATTGCGTATGTCTCCAGAAAGATTTTCTCTACTTTGTGCTTCTTTTTTCTCTGGGACGCCTTCTGTTTGAAAGTTGGATTTATTGGATTCTGTCTCTAGGTCCTTTTCTCTCTCCTTCCCCAATATAATCCACCCATTTCTTTTGTTGTATGACTTTTATGTAGCTCTACTGATATTGGTTTTTAACTTGAACAGTCATATTTAAAATTTTTAAGTGCTCTTTTTATTTTCTTTTTTCCCTTTTACATGACCTGTGTGTGTGTGCGTGTGTGTGCATGTGTGCACACATGTTTGTAAATACTTTTGGGAGAAGCAGTTTGCCATGGGCCCTGAGCATCCCTGTATGTTCTTGCTGGGTATGCCAAGAATGCAAAAAGTTGTGTGTGCAGGGACAAGCCTTAAGGAGAAAAAGATCATGTCTCCCATCGAACATAGCACGAACTTGTTATCACTTACTATAAAAGAGTAAGTCCCGTAAACTCAATATTCTTCTTTGGTAACACTGTCAACTATGTGTGCAGGAATCCACAAAGGACCTTTTATGTCACCCTGTGAGACCAGGGGGCATGGGGAATTGTTGCAAATGAACATGAAATAATAAAGTCCTTTGTTTCTGACCCAGGAGTCTCATGTCTTTTGCCAGCATCCATGAAACAGTAACAGGCTAGCTTGTTAGGCTAGCAAGGTAAAATTTCAGACCTAGCATCTCTGCTACTTTTAATCCAGTACTTTTCTTAGGTTTTTTCCTACACTGCACTGTCCTTTGAGATTATACTCCATCAGATTTTTTCTACTAGCTTTATGTTTCCAGATATTCTTGAAATCTCTTATCTGCTGCTGACTCCATTTCAAGTATTTTTATTATTGTGGGATTATACCTTTTTATTTCTCTACTTCCAGTTTTGGGAGAGGGGCTCCCCAAAACTCTATGAATAATCAATTACTACATGGAAGAAGCACTTTATTAATGTTTTGCAGTCACTTATTTTTTATTTCCATTACTATGCCTACATCCTTCCAGCAACACCATTTCTCTGTTTATACTCCATCCCTACACCTAAATATAGAGCTTTATTATTTGGAAAATCAACAAATGTCCAATAGAAATGAATTAAAAATAGGAGTAAATATGCTTTTAGAGGAAGACTGTTCAGGCTATTTGATTTAGCTTCCCAGAAATTTTTATTTACTTTTAAGTTTGAATATAAATGCAATTTTAGATAAATGGAATATATAAAGGTACATTATAACTGTATTTATAATTTTAAAAATATATTATCATGATTGTTGTTTCTCTATTAAATTGAATTGCGAATATTCTTAAAAATTGCTCATGCCCTTTGCTAAAAATTATAAGATTTAAGTTATATAAGGTAGGAGATGTCACAAAATGATTTTATTTCCTAGAATGAGAGTAGTAAAACTTTTAAAGAGCCTGTATGGGCTTTTGGCTCATATGGGTTCACCTAACAACTATTCAGCCCTGCCCTTGTATAGCACAGTAGCAGCCATAAGCAGTATGTAAATGAATCAGTGTGACTCTGTATCGTAAACCTTTATTTATGAACAATAAAATTTAAATTTTATGTAATTTTCACATCACGAAATATTATTTTTATTTTCTACAACCATTTAAAAATATAAAATCTGTTCCTAGCTTGCATTCCATACAAACCCTGGCCAACTCTTGCCCTAGAATTACCCATTTTATTAACAGCTTTGTTAATGCTTAAATACTGACATATTTCTACTCTGCTCCATTATTCTTATTAGGCAAGCTAATGAAGAATATCAAATACTGGCTAACTCCTGGCGCTATTCATCTGCTTTTTGTAACAAACTCTTCTTCAGTATGGTGGACTACGATGAAGGCACAGATGTTTTTCAACAGGTAAAAGTTATATTTTATTTTGTTAATATATTTAATAGAGTTGGTTGTGGTTGATACATTTTTGTTTGCTAGCTAAGGATACCATTTATTGAATAATTTGAGAGACACAATAGTGGTTATTAATAAGTTCTATGATGTGGTTAAAACAATTACAAATAATGTTATTTTTATCAAGAACAGTGTTTACCATTAGTGAGTACGGTAAACAAGTTTCAACTTTTGCACCGCAGAGGAAGTGTGTTTTTTCAGTACACAGTGGCAGTTTACATGCATTAACCTTATTTGGATAGTGTATGTGGTTTAAGATGGTACTGTTCATAAATTTTTGAAGTTTTATATAAAATTTAGTGTATTACTCGACCTCTTCCCATGTGGCAAATATAATTTTATATATAAAGTATTAAAGATTTATTTAACAGCATTTGTTCTGTGCTACAGACTGAATTGTGTCCCTTCCAAATTCATATGTTGAAACTCTAACCCCCAGTAACCATATTTTTTGGAGATAGAGACCTTAAGGAGGTAATTAAGATTAAATGAGATCATAAGGATGGAACTTGAATCCAATAGGACCTCATTTAGACACCACTTCCTTTAAGTGGTGTCTGAGGTGGACACCACTTCCTGATCTGGTGTCTAGGAAGAGACCAGTGTTATATATGCACAGAGAAAAGAGCATGCGAGGACTCAATAAGAAGGTGACCATCTTCAAATCAGGAAGAGAGGTCTCACCAGAGAACTCTTCTGGCCTTGATCTTAGATTTTCAGCCTCCAGAACTGTAAGAAAATAAATTTGTTGTTTCAGCTACCCAGTTTGTGGTATTCTCTTACAGCAACCTGAGCAGACTAATACATTGTCATTTATACAGTCGTCTCTTATGTGCTTCATGTGTATTCTTTTATTCAGCTTCACAGTGATCTAGTGAGGGAGATATTGTTATCTCTATTTCACAGATCAGGAAACCAAGGTATGAGGATGCTTAGTCACTTGTCCAAGGTTATAAAGTTTGGAGCTAAAATTTGAGCTCAGCAGTCTGCCTTCCAGAGAGCTAGCTCTTACTCATGCCTTTACTCTGCAGTTATTAATTCTTTTATATTTATCACTACTTGATTAGTGCCTTTCAAATGTAAAACTTATTGTAGTACCAGGCATTGATTAGTTTGCGTATCTTGGTCACATGTGACATTCTTTGGCATAATGCTTTACCAGGTCATTTAGCTCTGTAAAGAATCTAGTTCACTAATTGCAAATGAGCGATTAGCGAGTATTTTTGCTTATTTGCTTCCAGATTGATTATTCATCTTTGCTGTTTTCTGGTTGAATAAGATAAATTCTTTTTCCTTCAGTAGCGTTTACTCTTGGTCTTTCCTATTAGTATTCTTCATTTATTTCTTTTTCCCTAAATTTATTTTGCCTTTTAGGGATGTTTCTGTTTGTTCATCTATTCAGCAAATATTGAGTGGCTATTCTTGTAGGAGCAATAAATTGGCAAGAAAAACCTACATGTTTTTTTCCCATAGTGAGCTTACAGACTAGAGTGCTAATAGTAGTAATAATATAAAGAAAAACACATATAAATATGTAATTTCAAATAACCTTATAAAGGAAAATTATAGTACTATGCAAAATAAATGTTCTTTCATTTAATTTATGTCTGTATAGAATCTTAGAATTGGCCTTAGAGAAAATTAGATGAAAGTGCTATTCATTGTATATGTGAATCCTCTCTACCATATTAGGAAGTAGTCATCCTACTCCAGTCTGACTGCTACAGCACAGGCTTCAAGCCCAAGTGTCTATCCTGGCCAGGCCTGTAAACTAAGAAAGCAGGTTGGATTAGTTTGTTTCATTGTGATATCTTTGTTTATGTACATACTTAGTATAGTAAACACATTAGTTTTTCACTTGCACAAGTAAATTAGCTCTCTCCTATATTTATTACAACAAAGTCTGTCTTGGTCTTTATTAAAAAAATAAATCTTTAATGGAAACACTCATATTTCACTTTTCTTCTAACTACGATAAGAAATGAAATCAGCAAAATGTCATGCAGCTGATCCTTGGTCTCATGTTGAAGAAACAATATGGTGTAGGTGGGGACTGCAGCAGATGAGAGGACAAGCTTGACCTCAGTGAGAGACACAGCTCGGCTCTAGCTCTATTGAAGAAGTTCAGGCCACATGTAGCTAAATCTGTTTTTGAAGAAGAGATCTAAATATGAATTTCTACATGAAATTTATCTTTAAAATGTTGGCAGCTAATTCAGATTAAACAAAACAAAACTATGAGACAAAGTAATCATATCTTTGTGCTAAGTACTGACTATAGGCTGCTAGATATAACCATATAGTTATATTGTTAGGTATAATTGTTGAAATCTTTTATATGCTTTAAACATTTTTTTCTGTTTGGCATAGATATGAGAGTTGAAGTCAAAATCGTTTTTAGTTGAAAATTTTCCGCAGGGTAATTTTGATTCAGCAGAATTATGAATATAGAACTGCTTTGTCTTTTCCAAAACCTAGCCCCTGGCTTAGCAATAAGAGTTTCTTTTGTTTTTAAATGCAGAAATGCATAAACATTATAGTAGTTAATGATTTTTATGGGGAATTGCAATCTACAAAAATGGAAAAAAATCTATTTTATTTTACTTGAGAATCACTAGAAGATTTTTAATGCTTGTGTTTTCTTTCTCATTACCCATTAAATCACATTTTGTTGAAACACTCTCTAAACTGATGTTTGAAAGCACTGTCAGTAATAGTGTGGTGTCCAAATATAATATTAATAGCAAGTGCAGAAATTTGGCAACTCCTGGCTTGTTGGGGACTTACTGGAAAAGTAACTTCAATTACATGATTCCTGTGTGATGACTGAGGCTAAGTGTCTGACAACAGGCCAAGGAGTTGTCCATAACATACAAGCCCACTGCTGGTACTGCAATATCTTTACCTTGATGTCAGCTGTGATCTAAAGTATGTGTTATTTGATTTGGTTTTGTTTTTTATGGGAAATGCTGAAATATGTATTACAAATAAGGGCTAGAAATCTCTTGGATTTTCATTTGAGATGTTTTTCCTGGGCAGCAAGAATTTATACATATACATATACACACACATATATACATAATTATATATATATTTGCCATTTACTCCTCAATGCGAATTAATCTATTTGTTTTGGGGTACTGTATTGTTAATATTTATACTAGGCTAGTGTTTTATTCAGTACACTTTTAAAATGGAAATTGCCTTTAGAAAATAATAGTGAGACATAACCATTTTAAGACAGTTGAATTAATAGAGAAGTTGAACAGAGAAGACAATCAAGTTCAGAGCAAAAATGTTGGCTTCTATTGCAGTCATTGTCATTTTTAAAAGTCTTTAAAATTTAATAGAGCAGTCAGTCTGCTTATAATTTGTTTGGAATTAGTTCCATAGTATATTTTTCATCAAATGCTAGTACTTTAATAATTCCTTAAGAAGTGAAATAGTCCATGTATTATCAAACTATAATTTCTATTTTGCACTTTGAATTATTTCATTCTTTAATTACAAAATTCTAGAAAGAAAAAGAATGAAATGGATTATAAAATTTAGAGGATACAGCTGAAAATACAAATGATGTGTGTTAAATGCGAAGGTTTAGCAAACAGCCAAATTTATAAGGTTTTTTTTTTTCAATATTAAGGTAGTAACGGGATATAAAAATAGTTATTAAGTTCTGAATAAAAATAGTAATTAAGTTCTGAAAAGCCACTTGGATTTTTATAATAAATGCTATCTTTCCAAAATTCATGAAGAAAGAAACATGAAATGTTAGATTACTAATATATAAATGTTGCTTGGGTATTATATTTAGTATTTTCTCTTTCATGTTTCATAGCTCAACATGAACTCTGCTCCCACATTCATGCATTTTCCTGCAAAAGGAAGACCTAAGAGAGCTGATACTTTTGACCTTCAAAGGATCGGATTTGCAGCTGAACAACTAGCAAAGTGGATTGCTGACAGAACGGATGTTCATGTATGTTTCTATTCTCCCCACCCCTTTTTAATAATAGGCTAATTAGCTTGGTTTGTTAGAGCATTGTAATAAGGCCACAGGATTTTTTTTTTTTTTTAATTTCTCTAAGGAGTATCTCTCTTTGCTTAGAGAAAGTATAGCTATAAGATGTAAGCTAAACTTTAAGTTAGGTGAATTTAAGTGGTTTTTAGAATAATGGTTCATTGATATTTTAAGAGCCAATAAATAGTATGTGAGGTAGGCAGAAAGTAATTTCAGAGGCTAAAAAATATACTGAATATTACCCAATAGTATTAATAATGAAAGAAATTCTAATTAAAAAGCAAGATATATAATTTCTATCTTTTGGGCAAATAAAAACAGAATAATAGCTGCTTTTCGTGAGCCATCTGACAAAAAACATACACTGTTCTTGGGACTATAAATTGGTATAACTATTTTAACTATGTATCATATATCATGTCTTTGTTATATAATTTAATTCCGCTTCTAGGAATTTAACTTAAGGATATAATCAAAGATGATTTAAATTCTTAGCCATAGAATTTTTTTTTTTAAAGAAGATATCACTTTATTCTTTATTTTTTAAATTAATCAGAGTAGCAGTGGTTAATAACATTTAAATTTGAGGTGTACAATTCTATAATACATCAATCTATATATTGCATTATATGCTCACCATCCAAAGTCTAGTCGTCTTCTATCCTGTTACTACCTTATTCCTGCTCCTGCCCCCTTTCCGTCTGGTCTGTCCGTTTGTCGCTGTTTTTTATCCCTCATATGAATGAAATCATATGATTCTTGTCCTTTTCCGTTTGACTTATATCACTTAGCATGATACTCTCAAAATCCTTCCATATTGTAGCAAATGGCAGTATTTCATTTTTATGGCTGAGTAGTATTCCATTGTATATATGTACCATACCTTTATCCAGTCATCAGTTGAGGGACACTTAGGTTGTTTCGTTCTCTTGGCTATTGTGAATAATGCTTCAGTGAATATAGGGGTACATATATCTTTATGAGTATTTTCAAGTTTTTATGGTAGATACCCAGAAGAGGAATTGCTGGGTTATATAGCTGCTCCATTTTTTGAGGACTCTCCATACTTTTTCCATGGAGGCTGCACCATTTTACATTCCCACCACAGTGTACAAGGGTTCTCTTTTCCCTGCATCCTCTCCAACATGTTATTTCCTTTCTCATTGATAATAACCATTCTAACAGGTTGAGATGGTATCTCATTGTGGTTTTGATTTGCATTTCCCTTATAGCTAGTGAAGTTCAGCATCTTTTCATGTGTCTGTTGGCCATTTGTATGTCTCCTCGGGAGAAATGTCTGTTCAGGTACTCTGCCCATTTTTTAATTGGAATGTTTGTTTTTTTGTTGTTCTTTACATATTTTGGTTATTAGCCCCTTATTGGTGGTATCATTTGCAAATATCTTCTCTCATTCAGTTGGCTGTCTTTTTGTTTCATTGATGGTTTCTGTTGCTCTGCAGAAGTTTTGTTAGTTTGATGCAGTCCCATTCATTAATTTTCCTTTTTATTTCCTTTGACTTTGGGCTCAAGTTCACAAAAACCCCTCTGAGACCAAGGTCCATAAATCTTCTATGTATTGTTTCAGGTCTTAAGTTTTTGATCCATTTTGAGTTAATTTTAATATGTAGTGTCAACAGCCTAGTTTCATTCTTTTGCATGTGGCTTTCCAATATTCCCAACACCATTTATTGAAGAGGCTTTCTTTTATCCATTGTATGTTTTTGGCTTCTTTGTTGAAAATTAGTTGCTAATATATGTGTGGGTTTATTTCTGGACTCAGTTCTGTTCCACTGGTCTATGTATCTGTTTTTCTGCCAATACCAAATTGTTTTAATTATTGTAGCTTTGTAGTAAAATATGAGGTCAGAGTGTGATACTTCTGGCTCATCTTGTATCTACCTATCCACCCTACCCAGCACTCAATTAGCCATCTCTCCTGGAGCCTTGGGGTTTTTTTAGTAGCAAATTTTATTAGAACCAAGATCTGAACATACTGTGAAATCATGAGTTGATACCAATTTTACTTTTTAAAAAACTACTTTAAAAACTGCTTGTCTTTATGCTTTAATGAGCACCATCAAGAAAATGAAAAGACAACCCTTAGAGTGGGAGAAAATATTTGCAAATCATTTCTCTTTTAAGGGACTTAAAATAGGATCCTTACAACTCAATAATAAAAAGACCACTTAAAAAATGAGTAAATTATCTGAATAAACATTTCTGCAAGGAAAGTATGTAAATGTCCAGTGAGTACATGAAAAGATGCTCATTAGTCATCAGAGCAATGCAAATCAAACCCACAGTGAGATACTACTTTACACTCACATGGAGTGCTAAAATCAGTGAGATAAGAAATGTTGGCAAGTAATTGGAATCCTTACACACCACTGTTGGGAGTGCAAAATGGTGTAGCCCTTTGGAAAACAATTTGGCAGTCTTCAAACCATTAAATAGAGTTTCCATATGACCCAGCAAATCTACATATATACCTGACAGAAATGAAAATATGCTCACACAAAAAGTTATACAAGAATGTTTATAGCAACATTACTCAGAATAGCCATAATGTAGAAACAATCCAAATGACTGTCAGCTGATTAATGGATAAATAAAATGTGGTATATCCATACAGTGGCGTATTCAACCATATCTGATTAATGGATAAATAAAATGTGGTATATCCATATAGTGGAGTATTCAACCATAAAAAGAAATGAAGTACTGACACATGCTACAACAAGGATGAATCTTGAAAACATTATGCTAAGGGAAACAAGCCAGTTAAAAAAGACCACATATTATATGAAGGTCCAGAATAGGGAAATCTATAGAGACAGAAAGTAAATTAGTGGTTATTTAGGGCTAGAAAGTAAAAGAAATAAGGAAATGAATAAAGGGTATGGGACTTCCTTTTGAGGTGATTCAGATTTTCTGATATTAACTGTGGTGATGGTTGCACGTATTGGTGAATATGCTAAAAACCATTGAATTGACACTTTGGGCGAATTGTATGGTATGTGGAGTATATCTCAATAAAGCAGTTTTTAAAATGTCTTTTTAAAAAGTCTTGATTTGAAATTATACAAATAATATACCCCCATCTTACCTTTACTCTTTACCAGATGATCTCATGTTCCATGGGTTAACCCGAACAGTTCTGGGTTTAATATAATTAGATTTCGCGTATATTTAACCCATTTAACCTAAAATGATGAGTGAGTTCTTTTACATAGTCCTGATATTTTAAGGCAAATATTTTTGATTTATAAAAAATAAAAGGAATATTAGTGCCAGCTATGAAAAGTAAGATGGCATCTTTCCAAATTTATGTTGAAAATTAGAAGGACTTGGAATATAGTTAAGAGGAAAAATTATTTTTCTTTCACTTTTAAAATTTTCATTGTATTTTTGCAGATTCGAGTCTTCAGGCCACCCAACTACTCTGGCACCATTGCTTTGGCCCTGTTAGTGTCACTTGTTGGTGGTTTGCTCTATTTAAGAAGGAACAACTTGGAGTTCATATATAACAAAACTGGTTGGGCCATGGTATCTCTGGTATGTTACCACATTGTACTTCTTTTTCTATATTTTGTATAACAGCATAAGTTGAGTAATATTAATAAAATGAGCCAGATTATTACTATAATGGAAACACATTGTTCTCTTTCAGTGTATCGTCTTTGCTATGACTTCTGGCCAGATGTGGAACCATATCCGTGGACCTCCATATGCTCATAAGAACCCACATAACGGACAAGTGGTAGGTGCATGTCCTAAGTATCAATATTCTGAACTTTAATCCTGTTCATGTGAATCAAAAATTATGTTTAATATTTAGTAAGAAAGGATTCTGTATATAAATTTATGTTCTCTCTCTTATTTACTACTTCTGCCATGTACACACACACAAGCATGCATATACAATATATTGATTTTTTTTTAGGGTAAGGACTGCTTTAGTTTTGATTAAAAAATTCAGTGTACCTGCAATATCAAATTTGCACGCATAAACTATTTTTTCAACTTTGTATACTGCTATGGCAATAATATGTAATGCCAGAAGACAAAATAGTAGTTTTTAGCCAGTATCCCACTCAATGGTTAATTTACTTAGGAAGAGATTAATTAAAACATTATTAAGAACTCTGGCAGTCATTGTATTAGAATGCTAGGAAATGTTTGCTACAAAATTAAAAGTGAAATTTATACATAGTTAAATCACTAGCAGAGTTCACGTTAGTAACTGCTACTGAATTCATATAACTTAGTTTCTTGTCTTTCCTTTTGGTGGGTGATTTATATTGTAATAGATCAACTTTGCAAAATACTGTCTTTGAGGCTTTAGTATTAGGATGGTAAAAGTTAACTATTTGAAAATGTGCCCGATTTCCTCAAGGTTTTTTTTTTCTTTTAGGAAAATATACAGATTTTGAGAGAATAATGTAATGCTGTCCCTCATGTACCCATCCCCAAACTTAATCATTAACCAACTCATGACCAATCTTGTTTCATCTATTCTCCCACTCAGTCCTCTTTACCTGCTGTTGGATTCTTTGAAATAACTCCAGTATCATTTCACACAAATATTTCAGTAGGTGTCCCTAAAGATAAGGTCTTCTTTAAAAAGCATAACCATAATACCGCTATCATACATAGAATAACAACTTTTTAATTTCTGAAACTGTGGTTCTGAACAGAATAAAATTATCATATGGCAAAATGTTATAAGTTCTCTATAAATATAAATATATATAATATAAACTTATGAGTTTTCATTGCTTACAGTGCTTCAAATATTTTTAACAGTAAAGAAAGCTAACAAGTTATTTCTTTTTCCTACATTGTATGTGTCTTTCTCTGAATTTCTTTGTGGAACTATAATATAGGGATATAATTCACTTTATTCTTTCCATGTTTCTCAAATGCCCAGGTTTTAGGGACTAGTTGCAAATTATCAGAATTACAGTCATTGCTACTACATAATAATCAATTTAGTCTCATATTTTTTGTAAACATTTTCAGATTTCTTCTATAGATGGCAAGAGTATGGAGACAAAGTTGGACTCTGGATAATCAGCTGCCATAGTAATTTCAACATGGTCTTTGCCATGTGTATATAATTTTGAAATCTGGCATTAGAGGGGAATAATTGAGTGCCTTTAATATTCAAAATTAAATTATAAAAAAATAATAGTTAGAAGTAATTATCCAGGTATAAATTATTCCCTTACCTTCATGTCTTCACACAATTGCATTACTGTTTTGCTTGAGATTTCCATGGCCTTTTGGAAAAGATATTCTGATGGCCCAGACAACACATGAAAAGAATACAATTTCTTATATTTTTAAAAAGGGAAAACTTTTAGCATTTCAACATCTTAACCAAAAGTTATAGAAATGATGAAATTTAAGCTCATATAACCAAAATATTTAAAAGATAAATTTTGTCCCAAACCCTTCATCCTTTTATATAAATAGAAATTTTTCTTATATTTGAATAAAGTATTAGGATTGGAAAAAATCATAAAGGTCTCGAAAATACAGAAACTTCTTGCTACAAAGATGATTGCATGAGTATACTCTTGCCCAAAGAGATGTGGATACAATTACAGGTTTATGTGAGATATTAGTTGCCAAGCAGTATAGACAAGGCCTTAAACCTACCTGTATAGCACTGTGGAAAGGGACAGGAGAACATGGCCCATTAGTTTATAGCTCTTGTTTTACCTTTTAATGTATTTTAACAAAACTTTTTTATATGAATAATGTCAACAGACACTGAACTAGGATTCATTTATTTTAATGAATTGATTTCCATAATAATGGGTTTTTCTGTTACTGGAACAAAAGAGAAGATTAACTTTGCTTTATAAAATGAAATGGTTACTGGTTCAGAATTTTTACTTTAAACTGATTATCTAATAGGATGGGAGTAGTAAATATTTTTTCTTCATAATAGATGTGTTTAAATTTCAAGAGATAACTTGAAAAGTAGCACTATTCTTTTTTGTATTTTTAACCTATATATATTTCTATAGAGAAATTCCCATGTAGGATTTGCGTATTTGAAAATAACTGTAATGAGTCTATGTACCGCTTTTAGTGGTATAGAATAAAATTTTACAAATGAGGAAAATTAATATTCCAAGAGAGTAGTAAAGGTAGAATGGTATATCTTTTAACATGATTAAGAGTCACTTTAGGACTAAGTTGATGATAATTAGACTATATATTTTTTTAATACAGTGTTTACATGTATATATTGTTAATAACAGTGGTTAATGTTTAAATACTGATGCTAAAATCCATTTTAAATTTTTGATAGAAACTAAGTAATCTGAGGGTCTTAAATGCTATGAATTATAGATGATACCTTTTTTCCTATAGAGGTTGACTAATTAAATATGGGTGAAAGGTCATGAAACCTCATAATTTTGACAATTCTTTTAATTAATACAGTTAAGGCCTGCCTAATAAGACCTTAGAGACTACATATATATGGCCAGGTATAGTCCTGGAATGCATTTCTCTGTTATCTGTTTTTTTCTATTTTCTGATTGTTTCGAATAGTCTTTGAGATATGATACTTTGACTTTTCAACTTTTACCTTTAAAATTTACTTTCCGATTATAAAATTAAGTGCTCATTATGGAAGTTTAGAAAATTATTAAACTAGGTACCAATAAAAGCTATCACCTTGAGTTCCCCACTAGGAACTCGATACAGCAATGACAACATAAGGCAGAACACAAAAAAGGGAGAGAGAACATATATGTAGATAAGTGAAATGGTCTATCTATAGCTAATAGTTAAAGAGAATGTTGCATTAAGCTATAGAGCAATGAGAAATATGAAATGCAAAACTTTAAAAGCCAGTCTAGACATCCAAAATATAAGCAGAAAGCTTAAAAGGCCCCTGAAAATTGAGTGGCCTTTTCTTACATTAAGCAAATACCATATATATAAAACTTCTACGTACACACAGTTTAACAAAGGGAGTGGGTCTAGTACATTCTCAAAATGTTTCTATAAAAAAAAAAAATGACAAACAGAAAAGAGATTTTCAGGGTTAAGATGGTAGTAGACTACAGGTGCCTGATATACCTCTTGCCTTTCTTCTTGTTAAAATACTGATAAGGATTTATCAGAATTTAAAACAGGCAACAGAATTACAAAGAAAACCAATTAAGCCCAAATGCAAAGTACTGGACAACTTCCATTAACATTCGGATATATTGAAATGCTAACAATTTCTTTGTGCTTATGAACATCTTCAAAGTTCATTTTAAGTTTTTACCAATATGCGTACATCTATTCTATTCCCCAGAAATACTATTTCCCTTCACGCGGCATCTCTCTTTTTTGTGTTCTGCCTCATGTTGTCATTGCTATATCGAGTTCCTAGTGGGGAACTCAAGCTCATAACAGATTCCACTGTTGGGCCAAAGCCTGAAAAGCTATGGCTCTTTCTTTGTAACTCCATTATGTTTTAGAAGCTTCACAGCCATTGTTATTTCTTCAATGCTTTTAACTTTGGAATTCTGTAACATTAAGTAAATGTTATCAGGACTTCAACTTCATTTGTAAAATTTCAAGGTAGATATAAATGGTTTCTGTTCCAAGGCCACATTAAACTTTACTGCCCTTATAAATTGGTTGTCTTTCATGAAGTAGTGAAGGGATATTTGTATGACTCATGTCATACAACCAGGGATGAATTTGCTTTCTCCCTCCAGCTCTTGGACATTTGGTAGTGTTGGACACATGTACCCACTACTGGCAGCTAGTAATAGAGGCCAGGGATGCTGCTAAATGTCCTGCAGTGCAGAGGACAGCCACCTACAAGGAATTATCTGGCCCAAAATGTCAGTATTTAAAAAGAGAAGCCCTTTTTTAGAACTATGGAAAACCTTAGATATAATTTTGTCATAGATATTTTGCAGCCAAGAAAACCATGCCATCTAGCGTATATACCCTAAGGATGACTTAAAAATAATTTTTTTTCAATTGAAGTTAATCATTGTTTAGGATGGTTGTATGTATTAAATGCCATCAGTAAATGTGATGGATATGTAAATAACTTTGGTATAATCGTTTTCTTTAATATATAGTATACCTTAGTAAATGTGATTTACTATGACATTTCAAAAAACATTTAAAAAAACAGAGGTTTACATAAGTGCAAATGAAGACTCTTTGGCTCAGTCATCTTTATACCTTTGTCCTGAAGTGTTTGGGCAAAGAGAAACAAAGAAAACAGGGTTGAGTTCTTCCTAAGCTCTGCCTCTAACCAGTTGTGTTAGTCTTCTATAAAATGAGGCTAATACTACTTTTCTTACCTTGTAGTTTATGAGATAAAATATGAGAATAGATGTATAAGCACTTTTAAAATCTTAGTTTAGGTTCTTCCCAAAACCAAACCAAAGATAGTGATTCAAGGGAAAATAGTTCATATTAGAGGAGAAGGAAACATAGAAGTGGAAAACTGAGGTCAGAAAGGAAAGGCAGCCAAAAAAGATGTCAGTTAATGTTGTTGGCCACTGAAGCTTAATACTGCTGGGATCTCTGAGAGCCAGTGTAAAACACAAACATTAGTTTTCTTACCCAAGTGGAGAGGGTAACTGAGGTATTTATATACCAGCTCTCATCAGCCACTTGTTTAGTGCCATTTCCCAGAGGAAGACATTTCCTATCCAAACTGATAGAAATGCCAGTGCTGGTGGTAGAAGTCAGGCTGCAGTGCACTGAGTTTGTAAGGAT